ACCCCGATCCCCGGCCCCGCGGCTCACGCGCCGCCCGCCCCGCGCAGGCATCGTGCTGGACTCTGGCGACGGCGTCACCCACAACGTGCCCATTTATGAGGGCTACGCGCTCCCGCATGCCATCATGCGTCTGGACTTGGCCGGCCGCGACCTCACGGACTACCTGATGAAGATCCTCACTGAGCGCGGCTACTCCTTCGTGACTACGGGTGAGCCGGGCGGGACAGGGCGGGGGTGGGCGGGGCCGGCCGGGGAATCCGGGCCAGGTCGGGGTCCGGGGGTCCGGGGCTCCAGTCAGCGGGCGTCCCCGCCCCGGGCCCCGCACTGAGGCCGCTGCCGCCCCTGCAGCCGAGCGCGAGATCGTGCGCGACATCAAGGAGAAGCTGTGCTATGTGGCGCTGGACTTCGAGAACGAGATGGCCACCGCCGCCTCCTCCTCCTCCCTGGAGAAGAGCTACGAGCTGCCCGACGGGCAGGTCATCACCATCGGCAACGAGCGTTTCCGCTGCCCGGAGACGCTCTTCCAGCCCTCCTTCATCGGTGGGTCCGCCGGCCTCGCCCGCCGCGGGCCTCGTCCCTGACGGCGGCCCCCGGCGCCTCCCGGGTCCCTCCGTGCCCCCAGCGACCTCCCAGGCCCTCTGCCCCCGGCACCTCCGGGCCTTCTGCCCCCCACGGTGCCCCCTGGCCCTCTGTCCCCCGCGGATCCCCCGGCGCCCCCGCATCCCCACGGCACCCGGCCCTGCCCGGCTCTCCCTCACGCCACTGTCCTCCGCGGGTCCCAGGCATGGAGTCGGCGGGAATCCATGAGACGACGTACAACAGCATCATGAAGTGTGACATCGACATCCGCAAGGACCTGTACGCCAACAACGTCATGTCGGGGGGCACCACCATGTACCCCGGGATCGCTGACCGCATGCAGAAGGAGATAACGGCGCTGGCCCCGAGCACCATGAAAATCAAGGTGAGCGGCGATGCGCGCGGGGCGGGGCTTGGGCGGGGCCGGGGCCAGGCCTGGGAGGGACCTGAGTGCGGGGCGGGGCCTGAGTGCGGGGTGGGGCCTGAGCGTGGGGCGGGGCCTGAGCGCGGGGCGGGGCCCGGACGAGGCGGGGCTGCGGCTCACCCGGCCTCCTGTCCCGCAGATCATCGCCCCCCCGGAGCGCAAGTACTCCGTGTGGATCGGCGGCTCCATCCTGGCGTCGCTGTCCACCTTCCAGCAGATGTGGATCACCAAGCAGGAGTATGACGAGGCGGGGCCCTCCATCGTGCACCGCAAGTGCTTCTAAGCGCGCGCGCGCGCGCCCGGCGGCGGCTGCGTCGCGCACACTCGCTCCTTGGTTTACCTCATTTTGTTATTTTTAAACGGAAGCCCTCTGGATGGAACCGGAAGCCCCGAGCATTAAAGCCAGCCTTTCTGATGCTGCACGGAAGCGTGCGCTGTCTCTATTGGGGGGGGGGAGCGGGGCCGCCCCGCGTGAAGCGACGTCCGCCCTGCGCGCCGTCCTCTATGGGTCCGTCCTTGCCCCTGGAACGCCGGGCTAACGCCGGGGAGGGGGGGGCCACCCCGGAGTGCCTCCACCTCCCCGAAACTGGCCCCCGGGAACGCCGCCCACCTCCCTCCCCCAGGAAGGCCTCTCCCCTCTTCCCCCCCCAACGCCGCTCCCCTCTCCCCCCCCGGAACGCCGCCCCCCCCCGGGGCAGGCAGAGCCCCAGCCAGCGGCTGCGCTGACCGCGGTGCTGCCCGGCACGGCCCGCTCTCCCTTGAGGTGGACGCGGCTGGAGCTCCTGCCGGCTCCCAGGGCTGCAGCCCGAGGAGGAGCCCGGCCTGTGGGGGGGGCGCCCCCAAAGCTCAGCCGCCAACGAGGCCAGGGGGTCAGCCGGGGAGGGGGGAAAAGGGGGCTCCTGACCGCAGAGTGGCATCCCAGCCCACGGCCCCCAGCATGCTAAGCCACACACATAGAACAAACACCCAGAAACAAGGCTCTAGGTGCGAGTGTCGCACCGCTGTGTCTGTGTCACACACCTGTGTCATGCCGCTGTGTCCATGTCATACGCTGTCACACCGCTGTCACACACCACACACCTGTGCCCATGCCACACAGCAGCGTGCCCGCCTCCCTCTGGCCTGCCTGTTGGCAAGCTTCGGGAGTCTTTGAAGCCTCCGAGTTAAAGATGTTACCCAATCAAGTTAAGGAAACAACTGGCCATTTATCCAAAGAACTGGCCATCTAGAAAGCCAGTGTGGACCCATATCCCCTGAGCACCAGGCTCTCGTGTGGGCTCTACCCAACGTGAACAAAAGTTTTAACATGGACTACATTATCAGAAATACCCAGCGTTTATCAATAATACTGAACAGTTACAAGGATATCTGATAGGGCTATACTTAACTGCTGGAAGCACTGGAGCAAAGCACACACTCATAAACACACACACACACACAGCCTCAACAGTTGTGCAGCTAACAGCCTGGGCAAGCGTCAGTGAGTTAGCTAAGCCAGAACCTCCTCATTGGTACTGAGACTGGAACTTGCTGAGTACCTTAGTGCTGGGGTCCACTGCTGTAAGTGACCCCAGATTCTGCAGAGCTGGAAGATCTTTGAGTAGACACTGGCAGTATGTCTGTGAGCACCAATCAGTATCTAAAGCCCAACCTTTGGCATTGTGTTCTGCTGAAAATATGCAAAAATCATGAATAATACAGGAAAAATCATGACTTCGCTGGAAATATGCTTAATCTTTCCTTTTCTGATACTATTCTGAAAGGAAACAAGCATCACACATTTGTGTTCTTCAAGTAGGTCATGCTAACATGCAGTAGATAAATTGCATTACTTAATGAGGTCTGAAAGAATTTTTGGCGCAGTGCTGTGTGGAAAGAACTGAATCTTTCAAACTGGTATGGTAGCACTGCCCTGTAACCCCAGTGCTTGAGAGGTAGATGCAGGGGAAGAGCCTCAAGTTGCAGGCCAGTCTGCGCTACACAGCAAAATCCTGTCTCAAGAAGCCAAAATTGAAACCAGAGCCAAAGACAAAGGCTAGGAATGTGGCTCAGTAGGAGAATGCTTACCTTATCCTAGTTTACGTGCTAATTTTACAAGCACTTGGGCTTGATCCCAGCAAAAATATTCAATAAGTAAATCTTAAAGAACGAACAAAAGCCTAGAACATATACAAATATTTGTTATCCATGTGTTAGCCTGGGGTCTAATGAGGGAATGAAGTAACTGCTCTCAGAATCTACACTTGTCTCTCAAATTTGTTGAGAGCATAGTGACAAGAAAAAAGTATCTCTAGCACTGTTCAGAAGGAGGTGGAAAAAGAGGAAGAGGAAAAAGAAGGACAGGAGGAGAAGAAGCCAGTCTTTCCTATTCTCTAAAGAATACTCAAGGTCCCTGCTTTTCAGAAGAGTCTTTTGCCATCTCTGAAACACTGCTCTACTCTTACAGGGTGGCTTGAGGAATTTCCCCTGAACCCACAGTCTAAATTTAAAGCTGTTGTCTTCTCCACGGACCTAAACACCCAGGGAGTCTGGCCAGCCCCAGGACAACAGGGCACAGCTGAGAGGCTGGGGGAGCTGGTGCCTGGGCCCCACAGCGAATGGACCATGTGTGTCCACAGGGTCAGCTAAACCCTGAAAAACAGAAGGGAGAAAAAGAACGAAGGGCAGAGGGATAAAGAAAATAGGTCAAAATGTAGCCAGGAAGACAGGTGACTTTTTTCTGTCATTTTTATACTTCGTGTTTCTTTTAACTTGATATCGTCAATAAATATGTACTCTTAATAGTTTGTTTTATTTTTGGTGCCAGTACTGGGGCTTGAACTCAGGGCCTGCATGCTGTCCCTGAGCACTTTTGCTCAAGAGCCATGGCTTTACTTACAGCTTTTTGGTGGTTAATTGGAGGTAAGAGTCTCATGGATTTTCCTGCCTGGGATGACTTCAAACTTGGATCTCAGCCTCCTCATTAACTAAGATTATAGGTGTGAGCCACCAGCTTCTGGCCTGGTAGTTCACATATTAAACTGCAAGTGAATAAATAGCAGAAAGAAAAGGCCCTGATTCTACTCCCGGAGTAAGGGACAAGTTTGGGTAGATCTCTGAGCCCCAGAGGACTGCCGCCCCCTCGACCCCGCAACCCCCCCCACCCCAGCACTGGCTGCCCAGAGAGAGCAGTGGACAGGGGGAGGAGGTGGGGGCTGGGCTGGGAGGCACGAGGAAGCCCCTACTCCTCTCATGAGTCTCTGCACAGAGCCAGCGGTAGTGGGAAGGAGCTGAGTTCTGGCCCGCAGTAAGGCAGCTAAGGTGGCCAGGGCTGGGTTTTAATGACTCCAGGAGGCCGTAGAGGGTGGGGAGTGTCTGTAGGAGGGGAGGAGAGTCTTGGTCCTCTCCCTGACCCCCCCCCCAGCTTCCTCTGGAAGTTCTCAAAGACTGTGTTATCTCCCTGTGTCCTCCAGAAACCAGGGTGCTCAGCTGGCCCCCTCCCTCTTTCCCCCTCTTTCTCCCTCTCTCCCTCCTCCCCTCCCTCTCTTCCTCTTCCCCCTCTCTCCCTCTTTCTCTCTCTCCCTCTCTCTCTCTATCCCTCTCTCCCTCTCTCCCTCCCTTTCTCTCTCTCCCTCTCACTCTTTCTCTCTTTCTGTCTTTCTCCCTCTCTCTTTCCCTCTCTCCTTCTCTCCATCTCCCCCTCTCCCTCTCTCCTCCCTCCCTTTCTCCTCCCTCCCCCTCTCCCTCTCCTTCCTTCTCTCCTTCTCTCTCCCTCTCTCCTTCTCTCCCTCCCCCTCTCCCTCTCCTTCCTTCTCTCCTTCTCTCTCCCTCTCTCCTTCTCTCCCACTCTCTCCCCCTCTCCCTCTCTCCCTCTATCTCCCCCTCTCCCTCTCTCCTTCTCTCCCTCTCTCTCCCCCCTCTCTCCCTCTATCTCCCCCTCTCCCCCCTCCCTCTCTCTCTCTGTCTCTCCCCTCCACCCCCCTCACACAGTGTCCAGCTGAGGTGCAGCAGGGAGGTGGGAGCCATTGCTTCCAGAGTCCCAGCCTTGAACTCAGGCCTGCTATTTAAAAAAGTGCCCAGGCATGGAAGAGGGGAGGGAACAGAGGATTTCCCCCCATGCCCCGGAGACTCCCAGCCTCTAGCCAGCAAAGTGTCTGTTGTCCCTTCCTCCTCCACCAGACTCTTGGCTTTATGTCTCCAGGAGATCCCTCTACCTGGGAAGTCAAGACACCTGGAATCTTGATTTGACTCATGCTCCAGGGATCCAGAACCCCTGTGCTTATTTCCCTGCTTATGGGTACAAGGCTCTAGGCCTCTATTCATTGATTCAACAACCTTTGCTGAGCGCCTTCAGTATGCAGAAGATACAAGAGTGTCACAAAAGAATCAGGACTGTGGCCATGGGGGTCCTGGCTGCCTGGACTCCAGGTGCAGGTGGAAGGTGGATGCTAATTGACCCCCAGCCCACACCTGGAAGGGGCAGGGGCAGGGACGCCCTGCCCTGCTCATGTGTGGAGGGGTCCTGGAGGGCCAGGGGAGGCTAGAGGTGACTGGAACGGCTCCAGCAGGACAAGGCTGAGCTGGGCTCCTCTCACGCTGGGGCCTCTTGCCTGGGAGGAGGGCTAGAGGGAGGCCCAGCAACCTTCCATTTCCTCTCAGTCTTCCAGAGCCTTGGGACTAGCAGAGAGGATCATTGGAACAGGAGCATTCTCCTTAAACAGTCCAAGAAAGCTCAGGAGGGTGAGGGTCCCTGCTGCCTTGGCCTCCTGTAACAATGCAGAGATGTCAAAGGTACATGGAGCCTACCTGGCCTAGTGTGAAGCCAAGGGGGAGCAGGAGAGAGGAAGAGAGGGGAAGAGAAGAAGGAGAGAGTACGCAGGGATAATGGGAGGGCAGGGCCAGGAGAAGAGGAAGGGCAAAGGCAGGGGTAGGAGGAAAGGAGAGGCCTAGGGATGGGGAGAGGGATGGGAGGAGGGGGACAGGCAGCAGCTGTCTGCAGAGCCCTCTCCTGCCTGCCTGCCTCCATGAGTCACCTCACAGCGCCCACAGCCGCCTCTATTTTTATATCCATGCCTGCTCGTGTCTGATGTTAAATAAGCTTTCCAGCTGGTGGAGGGGAGTCTGCTGGCAGAGGGTGAAGGAACAATTTGGAAGTCGAAGTAGGAATTGTAAAGTGATTCTCTCTTATCAAGATCTCTTTGCCTTCTGAATAACCAGGCTGTGCTACAGAGCTGCTGCTCTTGGTGCAGTGGTAGGTCTAGAAAGGGATTAGAGAACCTTCCAGAACAGTAGCCCACTCAGGCACCAAAGGCAGGTATTGAGGGGCTCAGCACATAGATAACACA